CACTTAACGCGTGGATTCTTCTTGTTAGACACATTATATCTTTTCCTGAGCTTCCTGGATGGTACATCCATTTATATACTCAATTTGACGTTGAGAACGGGTCTGCTTTTAATAAGATTTCTCATTAGCAGCACATAATTCATGATTCTCTTGAGCCAGGATTATACTGCCATTTAAAACTATTTTAAAGCCTTTAAATACCTGTTCCAGTGCCTTGTTTGTTGGACTTGGTGGACTTTACATACGCTGCCGAAGAAGATGTTTGATTATAGACACTGACTTTTATAACTGACAGGTGTTATAAGACATTTTAAGATCAGATATAGATAAGCGTGTGGGAGGTGGTGTCGGCAAATAAAGCTCAATATTAAGCTTACTGAGTACTTGTTCTAGATCTAAAGAGACTAATCCAGCTGCTATAAAGCTGCTTTAAATATTTTTAGATATATATATCTCCGTATGAGCAAGCAGGAAGGCCTTAAGAATGTCAAGCTTATTAATATAATTATATCCGAGCCAGGCCTTGCCCTCAATTAGGCGCCTGTACGCTCGTTTTAAGGGCAAGAAGTATCCAATATCTAGCAGTTATAAGAGATAAGATGAATGCGGAGGCATATAAATAGAATTATTATTATTCTTACTGTAAAGCTTATCAAAACAAGGTATTAAATGGCTGCCATGTCCATCCAAGATTAATAGATAATATCTGCCAGTCGTATGGCCATTTATAGCTAGAATAAAGAGCTTTTCTGACTATTGAAATATAATTTTATCTATTATCCATCTATTATCACTGATTTCAATCTGCCAATCAGATAATAATAATATGCCCTTATACTATTCTTGTATATGAATCTTCTCTTTGAAGATAATACAGGGCATGAGTGCTCAGCCTGTATAATTTACATATTTAATTGATGGTATTTATTCTTGATTCTCTGGTTGTACGAGTAAGGGCTTGCCAATTATTTCTGTTCTAGTAACTACTTTAGCAGTAGATATTAGACTTATTATAAAGCCTGTCTTATTAAAATTATAGATATCTTCTGTTTGGATTCCATGCTATATAATCATTACTTATATACGTGTAAACTATTTATTTCTAGTCTTTAGCTCTTTATATTTACTTATTAATAATTATAGTATTGAGCATATCTGCTTTTGAGCTCTATATATTGTTTGATAAAGTTATATACTTAGTTTTTACTAATAACTAGGATTAGAATCTCTCCGCGTTTGGACAAGATAAGATCAGTAATTTCTTATACATGTCAGGGCCGGGTTGCTGCTCTACATGAATCTAGAGATAGGATTCACTGAATAATTAATTCTTCTTTGAATGTAGTCAATTTCTGGGAATTAGGTTGGGTTTCCGTACAAGATTTAATCCTGTGTAGTCGTTCTTGCAGGGTAGTCCTTGGGATATTATAAACACAAGCAGTTTCAAAAATTGAATGTATTTGATTATTTTAAATAGCAGATATTGCAAGCAGGATTTGACCTTCAGAATAAGTAGATTTTGAGCATTTTTGAAGAATTTTTGAAGGCATGGTGGTGGTTTAAAGATAAGTTAAAAAATCAGACGCGTACAAAACGCGTGGGTGGCCGGTCCGCTTGTGTGGCCGGTTTGCTTGTAGATTACGTTAATCCAGAGCGAGTGCTTAGTCAGTTAAATATTTAACTAAGTATTCTGACACCACCAGACAGCTGGTTAACCAATTCAGTGCCTAAGATATTCTATACTTTCAGGCAGCTGGAGAAGTAAGCATCTATAATTAAGAAGCTGCTTAGGGCGCGTATACAGAGCCCTTTTTTTCTATAAAGGCTGCGCTAGATTAACTTATTAAAGAATATAAAAAATAATAAATAATACTATTATTTTAATATCAGAAAACCATGATCTACAAGCTGCATAAAAAAAGAAGCTTTAAAAATAAAAGTTATCTATTAAGCAACTTACTGCTGCAAAAGGTCTTTCTATCTAGAAAGACCAGGAGCGATTCCAGTAGGAGAATCAGGTTATTAAATCCCAAGATACTGTGTCTAAGGATCTAGGGCTTCCTGTAGTTGGAGTGCGCGTACGCGCGCCATCACAGTATTCTATTTATCATATTTAGGGGCATACTAGGGTCAGATATCCTAACCCATCTAGTAATTAATTTTATAGAGAAATGCAATTGTTTTATTAGTAAAGTGGTGCTTGAATCTAACATAGTCATGGAAATCGGAGCGCAGGTGGCAGCTCGGTAGTGGATTACGTTATTACATGATGCTTATATCATCCTGTTTATTCTGTTTACTTTGCTGTTGCTAGTGTTGTTTTTCTTTAGCAGATATTTATAATACTTTATGTTTTTCTTTTTTTCTCTTCACGCTTAAAGTTCTAGAGTAGTTAGTATTAATATAATATTATTTTATATTGAATAACTATCTTATAACTTTAAGTGTTCTTTCTATCTCTTTTTTACTATTGTATATAGTCAGCTTCTGTTAAGTTATTAGCAGTCCCTTCACTTATATTCTTAATAATACTTAATAACTAAATATGATTTAATTAATTAATTTACTAAACTAAACAGAATAGCTAGAGAAAGCAGCCAGATCTCTATTTTGAAAAGTAATTGAAGGTTCTCCGCAATAGTCTCTTACAAACTAGATTAGAAAAACAGATTTGATTAGACTGAATTTAATATTTGATATTAGAAAGATCTGAAATAGATCTTTAATATCTTATTATAGATTTTTACTAATCTGGAGACTGAAAAAGATAATCTTCTCAATATTTAAAATAGATAAAGCCAGGAGATTGCTATCCTGATTTCTAAGAAAAAAATAAATAAAAAACAGAACGCCCTGGTCCTGTAGATATTTTATATAATAAAGTAGTTTTTAAATGAAAAAATACTGAAAATCGCTGATTCTTCTTTATTTAATAATAGAAAAGATGTTTTCTTCAAACACTGGATACAGCCTATGCGCTAGAAGTTAAAGATTAATCTTAATTAACTTTTTATTTTAACTATATAGCTTGCTTATATTACTATATATTGTAGAAATAATATTGAAAAGTATCTAATTCTCAGACTTTATTATAATATTACTAACTCCTATCTTAATACAGAGGATATTTTAAAGTATTTAAAAGCTGTCTTTACTAACTTAAATAAATTTTATAATACTTGTTATTAATACAGTAAACTATATATAAAGATTACAGAGAAATTTTATATTTCTATCTTATACTTTTATTATCTAGCTGTAGAGGCAGGAATCAGTAAGAATATTTAAATAAAAGATCTGTATAATAAGATACTCTTTAAATTAAAGAAAGTAATTTTGTATAGCTTTGATAATAAGTAGTATTTTTTTGATTATTATATAAAAGAATGCGCTAACTTTACTATCCTTATTAATTAATTAATAAGATACTATATTAAGAATAATATTATAATTACTGAGAGTTATAAAAAGGCCTGCCGTCTCTATATTATTTTAATTATTTTAAATTTTAAAAATATATTCTTTAAAGCTTCCACCTGCGCTTCTAGTATGGAATCTAAGAATAAGAAGATTTTAAGAAGAAAAGAAAAATATTTTTATTATAAAAAACTAGACTACTAGAATAAGAAACATCTAAAAAAAGATTATATAAATAAAAATTCTAAAGATTTTAAAAAAGAAATCTGAGCCAGTAAAAAATAATATCTAGAAAAAGACTCTTTTTTAAGTAAGTTAAAAGCTTAAACCAGTATAGTAAAATGATAATTATAAAATTATTAGTATTATTTTTTAATAATAGTATTACTACTTTTATTTATATACTTCCTGATTCCGGAGCCAATATTTACTTATTAATAAATACTATTTTTATTATTAAATTAGTATAACACTTTAGAATTTTAATTTTAATTTTAAATAAGATTACTCCTGTAACAGACTTCGACGGAAACTAGTTATATATTTAATATATATAATTAATTCAAATCTGATAATTAATAATTATTTATTTTTAAAGATCTTATTTCTTATACTAGATCTAAAAAGATATAATACAATTGTTCTGGGATAAATATAGTTTATTAAGTATAATATTATACTAAATTATTAGGATAATTAATTAATCTAGTTAAACTAACTAATCCTGAAAAACATGATAAAAACTAGTCTTCTTATAAATATTTCTTGAAATATTATAAAATACTTCTTTATAAATTAAAAGTATTAATAAATTACAGTCCGGAAATATTATAAGATATAATTAATAAAGATATAATGAAAACCTTAATTTTTTATTATAATTCTTTTTTATACCAGCTGAGGCAGCTTGTATAAGATCTTTATAAGGACAAAGTATAATTTCAAAAAAAGAAGTTATTCGTATTATTACTCTCCCAGTACTATAAGAATAGAGCTAATATTTATATTAATTAAGTTTTTTTATAAAGAAATTATTATTATTAGAGTAATTAGCTTCCAGCAGTATTTAAAAAATCCTAAGATAAAGACTTTTATTACTTTATTTAATATAATTAAAAAGATTATTATAGAGAAGCTGGAGCTCTTATATATAATTAAAAACAAGATTAACAAAATCCTTTAATAATATCAAGATCTAATAAACGTATTTTTAAAAAAGATCAGATATCCTATTTTCTTCTTAATATCATAATTATAAAGTTTAATTAGAAAGAGTAAATTTATTAAGTATCGCTCTCTTTTATAAGATAACAGTAGAAAAACTGCAGATAGTTTATAATTATATTATTAAAAATTTAATTAAAGAATTTATTATTTTGAGCTTTATATTCTTCATATTACTGATTCTGATAACTCATAAAACTGAAAGAGGTCTGTATTTCTGTATTAATTATTAAAACCTAAATATCTTAATGAAGAAAAATCTGTATTCTTTATTCTTAATTAATAAGATTATAAATTATTTATATAATACAAAGATCTTTACTAAGCTTAATATTAGATAGAGTTTTTATTAAATCAGAATAAATCGTATTTTTAAACATCTTATTATATTTTATGATATAACTTATTTAAGTACTATATTCTTTTTTCGGATTTATAAGTAGATCTGCTACCCTTCAGTAACTTATTAGAAAAGTTTTAATAAAATATTTAAATAAGTTCATTACTATTTATATTAATAATATACTAATTTATAGTAATAATACAACTGAATACAAGTTATATATACAGCTAGTACTTAAAAAGTTACAGATAGTAAGATTATAACTTATTATTTATAAATATAAATTTTAGATTTATAATTATTATAGATAATATTCATGTAGATCCTGTAAAGATTATTATAATCATTAAATAAATAATCTTAATAATTGTTAAAAAAGTTTAATCTTTTTAAACTTTTATAGCTTTTTCTAATAATTTATTAAAGCTTACAGTAAGATAGCAAGGCCTCTAATATAACTTACTTGAAGAATATTATCTTTAACCAGAATCCTATTTATATAAAGCCTTTTAAAATATTTAAAAATATCTTAGTCTTAATATCTATCTTGATTTATTATAATTTTACATTCTTTATCTGTGTGGAAACAGATATAGTAGATAAAATTATTATTAAAATATTATTATAATTAATTAATAAACTCTAATATTTAATTACTTATTATTTTAAGATTATGTTACCCGCTGAATATAAATATAATATTTATAATAAAAAGCTATTAGTAATTATTCAAGTTTCAAAATAATAAAGACTAGAATTTAAAAAACTTCAGTATCTAGACTATTTTAATATTCTGATTAATTACCAGATCTTAAAGTATTTTATAATTATGAAGTAACTGAAAATCTGTCAAGTATAATAAACAGAACTTTTCTTCTAATTTCATTTTCTAATCTTATTTTATTTTAGAAAGTATAATACTTTAACAGATATCTTGATCTGCAAGAAAGAAAGTAAATATATACTATCTTAATATTATAAATAAATCTTATTATTTTAAAAATATTTTATAAACAGTATTAATATTTTTCTAATAATTTTAAAGCTTATAATTACTATTATTTTTATGGAAGAATACTTGTAAATAATAAATTAATTTTTAATAATTAATTAAGAATATTCTTTGAGTCTTATTGAAAGTAAGCTTGTTAAGCAGAAGGAGAATATATTATAAAAATAAACTTATCTTATTGAATAATTAGTTAATAATTTTATATAATAAGAATCTGCATATCCAGTTATTAAATAAGATTTATTATTAATTATTATTTATTTATCTAAACTAAATAAATATACTGATTCTTATAAAGCATTGATACTGTTAAAATATATAAAATCTAGATGTACAGTATTATCGTAATAATTATTTAATTTATAGGTAAAAAAATATATAATAAGATTTATTTTAAAGATTTATTTTAAAAATTTATTTTAAAGATTTTTACACCTATTACTAATTTCAGATTAATTAAAATAATATTTATTAATAAACTTAATATTCCTGAAGAAATATCACTACTTTAATACTATATTTATAGTAATTAATAATTTAAATAAATAAATTATCTTAATATTTTATATACAATTTATCTTTATATAACAAATAGTCTAACTCTTTCTAAAATAGATATATTTTTAATTAGAATTCTTGGATATTATTATATCAGATTACAGATAATAATTTATACTAAGATTTTAGAATAAATTTTATTATATATTATAAATTAAGTTTAAACTTTTAACTACATACTATTTCTAGACTAATAAATAAATACAAAATTATAAATTAATATATTATACAGAGACTTATTCTTTTTATATATTACTATTAAGATAATTAATCTGAACTTTTATTATCAATTAACTTTATCTTTACAGTCTTGCTACAGAAATATATAGGACTATTATTCTTCATAATTAAATAAGAATATAAATTTTATATCTTCTTTAATTAGATATCTTTCTAAAATCCTATTACAGATACTGTCAATTAATAATAAGCTCAAGCTTTAGCCCGTTGTATAAAATAAATATAGAACCTGATTATAAAAAGTATATAAACAGATATAAATGTATACAATTAATTAATAATATTATTCTGTAAATTTTGCTATTAAAGATAAGATATATATTAATATTTTATAACTAGTATTGGAGATAACTATCTAGAAAACACTTAAAAAGCTAGTATAATTTAATACTTCTTATTAAAAAGATTAATTATATATTCAGAATTCTACTGCTTAATAATATTGAAGTTTATCTAATCTTTTATTTTAATAAGCTTTGTTTATACAGTATCTTGAAACTGCTGTCTGAATAGATTCTTAATTAAGTACTTTTTATTAAAACTAATAATTATACTGAAAAGAAAATTAATAAAATATTAAAAAATTACTTGTAAGCTAGTATATTGTAATACCAGATTAAATAAATCAGATTAGATAAGAATAATTATAAATAATATTTTATTAATGATTTCAAGAATATATTATTTTATTTACAAAATTTTTATACTTACTATCCAGATTAACCAGAGTCTTCTAAAAGACTAGCTTTATAGATTACTATAACTAAGAAGAACAAATTTACTGTAGATTATAATAATAATAATATCTTTCTAACTAAGAATAGTTAGATCTGAATAAGATAATAACAGCAGCTCTACTGGATATTATATAATACTTATATTATTCTGTTTATTCTATTTACTTTATTATTATTAGTGTTGTTTTTTTTAGTGAATACTTATAATACTTTCTGTTTTCCTTTTTTTCTCTTCATGCTTAAAGTTCTAGAGTGATTAGCATCAATATGACTTTATTTTGTGTTGAATGGCTGTCTCATTAATAAAATATTTATTATACTAATCACTAAAAACTCTAGAAGACTGTAAGAAACCTTTCTAGGGGAAAAAGTCAGAACAAGACCATAAGGCCATCATTACCCGCAGATACTTCTGCAGATCCCTAGAGTCCCCTATATACTCAGGTACACCCGGGAGAAGGAGGTCAACGACTCGTGTAAGGACTCACTTCCTTACAAAGTCTAATGATTAGTTCTATACCTATATATACACATTATTTGTACTATATAGACTCGTAATATAAGCCTTAGCCTGACTGCTAACCTTGCACTGTTCCACGTCTCCCTACATACCTCTAACAATAATGAACTGATAGTATAGTAAATTTAATAAAATATAAGATATAAGATACAGGGTATATAATAGGAGATATTATAAAAACAGAGATAATATAGTGATAATAAAGTAAATAATAAGATTAATAGAAAGATAAGAAAAAGATGATGTAAAAGAAAATTATATTCAGTAGTAGTATTTGATTATTAAGACTTTTAAATATCTGAAATTAGTAAAGTAAGGGGTAACAGGAAAATAAATAAGTACAATAATAATATATAATTAAATAAATAGTAATGGAGGTCTAGGATCAACCTGTAAATATATTACTATCTCTATAATAGTAATATAAATCAAGAATAATGAATAGTATAATGATTATTAGAGAGGAGGTTTTTTTAATAGTTATATATTAGGAAACTAATATACAGATGCAGAAGGAGTGCAGGGAGAATCTCTAGCATGAAGGCAGGAAACTGGAAGCTCTGCTACATACGTGAATAAAATAGGGAGCTGACAAAACAATTATATAAATATAGAATCCTATGTTACAGATAATATAATCTTATAGTTAATATAACTGATTATAAAGAAAAAATTAAGTAAGACTAATATTAATTTAATATAATAAATATATAAGTGTGACTGTTTTGTCAGGTCCCTTCTTCATGTATACAAAGATTCTGCCCCCCTGCAGTGATTTATTGATTATCTAATAATTTTTATCTTTTTACCTGAAATTTCCCCTATGTTTCTTTCATATCTATATATAAACCTTCTAGCTAGTATATAATTATATTAGCAAGGCTTCTTATTTTTAAATAAATTATTATATTATATATTCATTATCTTTCTTTTTAAAACTGTTATAAAGATAGTAATATATTTATAGATTAATTCTAAACCTTTATTATTATTCATTTAATAATATATATTACTATTCTGTCTGTCTGTTTATTCTGTTTATTTACTGTTTCTCTTATTATTCTATCTTTTTCTATCACTATACTGCTTTACTAATTTCAGATATCTGAAAGTTTTAGTAACTGAATACTACTATTAAATATATTCTTCGTATATTATTATTCTATATTATTCTCTTTTTCTTTTTTTATTAAATTATTATCTCTATTTTTTTTATAATATTTTCTATCTTTATTTTCTCTACTTTTTTTACAGTTAGAAAACCTTATTTCTATTCTGTACTGTGTATCTTATTAACTTATTATATTAAGAATATTAGATATTATTAAGATATAATCTTGAAATTACTAAACTTACTTATTAAATTACTTTTTTTCATGTTCTTTCAGATTCTCTCTATACTGTAAGATTTAATTAAGATACTTTATATTATATAGATTATATCTTTATTAAATTATATGTTTCAGAACGTGTGTCTACACGCCACTATCTCTATCTTTCTAATTAAAATATTAATACAAGTATTCTTAATAAGATCATTAAGAAATTTCTGTGTCGGATTAATTTTTTATCACTTGTTTTATTAGATATTTTTAATAGATTTCTATATACTTTACTAATATCTTTTTTAATCCTTCTTATGTATATAATTATTTAAGATCTATTTCTTTATCAAGGTTATAAAATTTTAATATAGACTTTACTACTACTCCAGAATCTATAAATCTGATATCTATTTTTCTTATATATTACTATTTACTTTCTTTAAAAAATAAATACTAATTCTCGGTGTTTTTTACTTACTATAAACTAAGATTCTCTCTGGAATAATCACTTCTAAAAAACAAATATATTTACTTACTTTAATTACTATTTATTTAATAAAAATCTTTAAATCTTTATATTTTCTTTAACTGTATTATATTATTTTTCTTTCTATTACTAAAGATATTTAATTTTTATAATCTGATTTTATATTAAACCAGACTCTGTATAAAGAATTAAATAATATATTTATCAATTTTATTATTATTATTATTTAAAAATATAATACAAAATAAAAACAGGTATTGTTTTTATTTTCTCTTTCAGATGGGTGGGGCCCTTACCAGCGCTAATACTTTATTAGGAATAGCACCGGTCAAATAATCCATACTTACGGTCAAAAAATCACTTGCCTAAAAATATTTAGTAATA